CTGGAGGTCTTTGGTCTCCATTGACCCTTTGGAGAGACACCATGGCATGTCGGCCATGAGGATATGGACCAAATGTCAGGAGGACTCAGTTTTAGCTCACTTTGCTTCTCTTCTTATGGGACTTTGAACAAGTCACACGACTTTTACCAGCCTTAATTCCCATCATTTAATGTAGGGACTGTTTTAGATGATCCAGAAGACATCTCCCAACACTAAGTGTCCAATCAGTATGCTCAAACACTGTATTAATCGGATAGAGTGAGTTATGATGTGCTATGTCCAACCAGTATGCTCAACCTCTGTATTAATCAGACAGAGGGAGTTATGATGTGCTATGTCCAATCAGTATGCTCAAACTCTGTATTAATCAGATAGAGGGAGCTATGATGTGCTACCCAAACCCCCAAACCCTCTCTGCTTTTGTAACAATCCAGATCTCTCCAGAAGAATTGTTGCCTGTGGTCACACTCTTCCAGCCTGCCACAGGCTCCTCCTACATATGATTTGTCATACAGAACATGTAATTTCATGAGCGACATGTAAGAGAAAGGGCAGCTAAAAGAACCACATGTCGGCTTTTCAATGACTATTCAGGAGTGGCACACCATTTCTACTCTTCCTATTATCCAGAAACCATGGTAGGAAGGAAGGAGGGATGGGAGAAGGGATGGAAAGAAGAATCTTCATGTTCTCAGAAGAGGGAAGAAGTGAATGCCAGTAAATTCTCATCATGTCTGTGAAGTAGACATTAATGATTCTCCATCATTGAAAAAAAATGGCTTTATTTTTCCAAATGCTTTATACAGAGTTCTGACACTGTTTTGAGGGAAGAGAAGATTGCTACCATTTCATTTTACCAGTAAGAAAATGTGTTCAGAGAAGTTGACCAACGTATGCAATGTCACAGAGCCACCTAATGTCTAGGGCGGGACTAGATTCTGTGTCTCTTGATCTCTGCTTTCTATTGACTAAAAGAATTGCAGGTTTTTCTATCAGAAGATCTGCATCTGCCATTCATTAAACTGACAGCATGGGATCTCCTTGAATCTTGCCCCAGTTAGCTTTCTATTGCTGTTATAAAACATCATAATCAAAAGCAACTTGATGGGGGGAAAAGAGTGAATTTTATCTTATAGCTTGTAGTTCATCATCCAGAGAAGTCAGGGAAGAAACTCAAGGCAGGAATCTGGAGGCAGGAACTGATGCAGAGACCATGGAGAGCTGCTGCTTACAACCTTACTTCTTGTGGCTTGCTCAGCTTGCTTTCTTAGAGTGTGCAGGATCACCAGCCCAGAAGCAGCACTCCTACAGTGACCTGGGCCCCTCCACATTATCAATTAAGAAAATGTACCACAGGCTTGCCCATAGGCCCATCTGGGGGTATTTTCTCAATAGAGTGTCAATTTAACATAAAATTAGCCAACACAAGCCTCTTATGTGAGATGTCTCAGTTGTTAAGGACACCTTCCCCGAAGCCTAACAACCTGTGTTTGATCCTTGGTACCCATGCAATGGAAGGAGAGAATGACTCCAAAGGTTGTCCTCTGACCTATGTGTGCTTGCATGCTCGCATGCACGCGTGCACGCACATACATACACACACACACACACACACACACACACACACACACACATATTGTGGCATGTGTACCCCCCAACACACATAAAATAACTAAAATGAAAAATACAAAGACCTAGCTCACAGTTTCCTTGGGAAGATTGACAAATATAAACAAAATGAAAGTGCCCACCACAGAGCAAAGAGTACATAAACACTACATCCACTCTGTCCATTTAACGACACCACAGTGTGAGCAGATGTTCAAAGACATAAACCACATATTTTTATACCCTAGAGCCAGAGCCTTCTGCATATCGAAATTCCCTTTCAGTTTTCTAAATTAACCAGAAGCAGAGTTGATTACATTAGAATTCATCTATATAGAAACTATGACCTCCTTGGAGGTCAGACAAGGGGTTACATTCTCCCAGCACCTGATATAGTGCCTCGAACTGCACAGAGCTCAGGGTGCAGTGTTCTGTAGACTAGATCAAGAGTGTACATCCGGGGCTGGAGAGATGGCTCAGAGGTTAAGAACACTGGCAGCTCTTCCAGAGGTCCTGAGTTCAATTCCCAGCAACCACATGGTGGCTCACAACCATCTGTAATGAGATCTGGTGCCCTCTTCTGGGGTATAGGAATATATGCAGACAGAATATTGTATACATAATAAATAAATAAATAAATCTTTAAAAAAAAAGAGTGTACATCCCACAGCATTCGTGCTGAAGAGGCGTCGGGAATTTCACACCATGCATAGTAGTTACGATCACCTTTGCTTTTTTTTTGGGGGGGGGAGGTTGATGACAAGAAGCAAGAGAGGAAAAGAGAGAAGGGGGAAAGAATGAGGGAAGAGGAGTAGCGGGAAGGGGAGGAAATAGGGGGAGAAACAGGGCTCGGAAAGACTAAACAGTGACTGAAAATCCAAGACAGGAAGAGAGGCAAGCAAGGTTGTTCATGGGAAGAATCGTTTCATCACATTTCACAGCAAAATAAGAAAATACGCGGGGATGAGAGAGAGCGAGATGTCAGCCCCATGATCGCCAGGAATACACAGACAGTGCAAGAAGCAAATAGCAGAGGAAAAGGGGGGGGGACACAGTCCCTGCCCCCCTTCTTGGGCCTGCAGTGGGCGGGCTCAAGTTCTCCTGAGGCAAAGGCCAAGCTTCAACTTCAAAAGCCAACTCAGAATGATCCAGCACCAGCGGGCCACAGGCTCCTTCAGTCAAGTGACCTTGGCTGCTTGTTTCCATGGTAACGATGCACATCCCAAACTGTTCCTTCCTGTGTAGGAGGCAACATTGGAGAGCGAGGGGAAGGCAGGCTTTGACACTGGCTTTCCTCTCTTCTGACCCTTCTCCTTTGGCAAATCGTGTCGTTCTTCTCAGTATTGCAGTCTCCTGAGAAAAGCGTCCCCAGAAGAGGATGTTTCTGTGACACTATTTGCAGATGCGTGCCCGCCCGGCGCACAGTTTTAAAGGAAGATGGAAGCTGCGTTGGCTTTGGTTTCGCACGCGCTGGGTGTTCCCCCAGCAGCTCACTATTCCTTTCATGATTAGCTCGCCGAAGAGCAGGCCCAGCGTGTCGTCCCCATGTTGAAAGAGAGAAGTCAGTGAGGTTCGAGAGCTTCCCCCAACGCTCCCGAGCACGCAGTAGCAGAGTTGAGCTAGAAAGTGAATATGACAAATCTAGGTGTCTAGCAGCCTCCTCAGCACATGGTTCTCTTGTGGTCCAGCCCTAGCCTGAACCACCGCCCATCACCACCCTGCAGCTGCTCGAATGTCTGTCTGCCCCAGTCTTAGCCTCGGCCTCCACCCTGTATTCTGCAGTTTTCTTCAGCGCTGAGTCCTGACTTTAGAGTATAGAACAAAAGTATGCTATGTCTAAATACGGAGTTTAAAATGCATTATAAGATCAATATTCGGCCTGTCATACAACACCTGGGGTTAGAACAGCATTTTGCAGGATGATACATAGTCTTTCTTCAAGTGAACCATGGAAGAGAATGTCTTACCACAAACCCACCAGTCACTACTCCAAAGGCACCATAGGGTCCATTTTCTAAGCCGGATCTGGAGCCAAAAGCACTCAACCCTTGGCTCAACTTCAGCCCTTCCCGGTAGTTTTGATCCCATGATTCCATCCCTGAAAGAAACCTCTTCTTCTGCAGTATCTCTGTGTGACTCTGCCATACGAAAGTGTAATTAGAACAGCATGGCGCCAGCAAGATGGTCCATTTACCTCATCCTGCACCATTCACGTGCTTTTGAAATATGTTTCTAATATCTGAGGTGCATGGGGCCAAATTCCCTTCGCGTTTTTTCACATGCATGAGTAAATCCACACAGACTAAACCCCTTGGGCCTTAGGTTCTGCTTAGAAGTTCTTTTTTTTTTTTCTTTTAAAGAAAACAAATATTCCATTAAAACGACACAGTGTACTCTGCATATTTTTAGGACAATTAGAGTTTAGAATTCCCTCTTCTTCCGCCCATTGCAACAAAAAAAAAAGTTTTCTTAACTATTTCCTTACCAAGAATGAATAGAAACTGAGGTGAAGGATTTTCCTATCTTTAACATTACTCTTTTCATGTCGCTTGTCAATGATAATGGATGGTGGGTTGAGGCCATTGCTGTGTTATTCCAGAAGGATCCAGACTCCTCTGCTCCATTACCAGATCAATCCTTTCTAGGTAACTATTTGCAAACCTATGGAAACATTTACTTAAAACAGGAAAAAAAAATGAAACTCACAAGAAACAGATGCACGTAAAAGGAAGGAGATTTTCCCCTTGTCTGCTTGGATTGAAATTGGCTCGTGGGACTTTGGTCATTTTTCTGTAGCGCTCCTGACTGTGAAAATAAACTAATAAAGGCCAAGCTGCGCAGGCTGGCCATGTCTCAGCCTGTGAGACAGAGATACAGCAAGACTAAGAGGGAGAGAGACCTACGAGTCATTCTTGCCGTGGAGGAGTCGGAACGGAGCACCAGCTGTGGACGTTGCGTTTGACTGCCTTCATAAGTCTGTTCAGATAGCAACTCCCTGCCCATTAAGCCTGCTCTGCCGGGGCCACACATGTGGATGACGTGGGCCAAGTCAGTGTGCAAATCAAATGTTTGCTTGCAACCAAATTTGGAGAGACAGCTTAGCAGCACTTGCCAAGCCACTCACATTCAAGTCCAAAAGCTCCTGGGCCTTTTCAGAAGGTGATGTAAGACCATCCTTGGCTTCTCTTCCAATTCCTACAAAGTGGATCAAAGGTTAAAATGACACTCCATGCTCACCCTGTGGCAAAAGACATACCTGACCCCGGAATGAGTAGAATCCAGTAACAGCTTGCAATAGCATAGAAACTAGGAATTATATAAATACACACACACACACACACACACACACACACACACACACACACACACACAATTTTATAGGATCAAAGAAATACGACTTCGCAGGGAAAATGTGTTTATTTAAATTAAAAAATATTGTGAAAATTACAAACCATTAAATACAAAAGACAATTGTCTACAACTCAACGTACTGGAAGGAAGTATATACATCACTTTGTAACAGGCGCAGACAGACTTGCACCAAACCAGGATTAAGCAATGGAAAATGTGACCATGCACATGTCTGTCGCAGTAAAGTTTCAGAATTCAAGTGATTCCAGGCAAGAGGCCAAACTTAACTTGGCTTCTTTCAACTTCAACGGCCCCCTTTGGAGTTGATCCACACTCTGAATCTTAAAGTGAACAGAAGGCCCCTTTCCCCCTCCGACATAAATTACTCTACCTCCGTGTCAAAAACTGATTGAAAAACCAGCTCCTATACTGTGAGTCCCTCGTGGGGACAGTAGTAACTGCTTTGTCTCCAATCTAGGGAGAGTTAGGATAAATAAAAATTAAAAAGGTTTTTTTCCCTAGAGTCAAACTTGGCCTTTTGGGGGTTTTTCTGCTTCCTTCTAAAGGTCTGCAGTGGGCAAAAGAGCCTGCTCTGGCCACACGGAACACTGGCGGGCAGTCCTGAGAACCTCCTTTTAGCCTTCTCTTCCCCTCAGCCGGGAGTGCTCACATCCTGCCATCCACGGAACTCTGCAGAGGAAGCTATGCTATCTGCCTCCTCGGTCCCATCCTGGGAAAGCTAAAGTAAGGAGGACTGCTGATCGGCCCCCAATTCCCCAGTCGTCACACTCTCTAGTCTCCAACTGCGCCTTTAAGTCAACACATCCTTCTCCAGACTAAGCAGCCAAAGGGGAAATACTTGGTCCAAACTTCCTCACACCAGGCTGTGGAGGATTGATCACACAGAACAAAGTCTAAAGATGTCCTCCCAGCCCCCTGAGGCTGCACAGCCCCAGGAGCCTCATGAAGGCAATGAACCTTATGAGGACATGCCACCAGGACCACACAGTAAATGATCATCGGGACTCAGATCAAGAAGTACAGTGTTTGGACCCCAGCCCTGTTCAATCTCTCCTGAATATGCCCTTCTAGGTCTCAGCTACGTGACAAAACCCCACATGATGAGGCCCACATGTGTCCTCTCTGGCCTCGGAAAACTAGGCTGGGAAAAAGAGCCACAGCAGTGCCATCGATGGTTTGGCCTTGGCTAACCCCCACCATTACCCAATCTGGAAAGGTCAGCAGGACCACCCTGAACGTAGGCTTCGAGTCTGAGGAAGCTCACTGACAGAGAAAGCCATGCTCACCTGCAATGCTGTACCGTCACACGTCAGAGTTCAAGCTCACGGGTGAGACCAAAGCTCAAACTAGGTCATAGCTTATAGCCCCAGCTAATGTGGACATATGTACACACTGCTTTCTCCCCTCACATTGTGCAAACAATCTGGGTTCTTCCTCCAGCTTTCTCCACATCAAAATTTCCCCATCAAGCATTCCCCCTCCTAATCCAAAAGACACGTGTAATTCTCTGTGACCAAATGCCACAGGCACACACTAAAGATACTTACAGCCAATCAGATCTAGAAGAACAAAGCTCTAGGCAAATTAAGCAAATCAAAAGTAGTCCTTCAGCCTGCCCTGGGCAGTTGTCAGCCCTGGGCACAGACAGATGCTGTAGAAGTTACCCAGGGCATCCAGTGAAAAACAACACATTCTCCAGCCAGATGCTGAACAGGGACCCCCAACACCCAGACCCCAGAGTAAATGGTCATGCAGTGATGGGTCCGAACCACAGGAACCTCCAGGACTCCAGTTGAGCCTTGTCTCTCCCTGCCCCATTTTGGGGGCTTGCCCACCGTCTGTTCAAGGTGGCAGCTGCAGAGCAAAAGTGAAACCAGGCACTTCACATACGCCTCTCCTCGGTCAAGCGTGGCTTACGGAGCCACCTCCAGAGGCCTGGGGGTGCTAGGAATTCTGATGAATGTTTTCTGAAGACCCTTCACTGCTTTCATTGAGAGGTGTCTCGGAGGTCTCCTCCAGCTCATCGTCAGCTCCTTCCTCCTGGATGGTGAGGTGCACGTCTGGGGAGGAGGACTCAGAGCTCACACTGTCCCCTTCCATTGAGCAGAGGGTGCAAGAGAGTGCAGGCGCCACGCTCTCTTGCAGCATATTCAGCATCATGGGCACCTGTGCTGACCTCAGGCCCGACATCATGGGCAGCGGCTTCATAGCCTCCCCCCACAGCCTCTCCTCATCTTTGTACAGCAGCAGGAGGCTAGACTTCTTCTCCCGTCTCTTGGATTTCATGTAGCCCAGCATGATTCCGATCAGGAAAATGCCGTAGAAGGACATAACGACCAGAATATAGAAGTATTCATTGCCATTACCACTGCTGTTACTAGGCACATGGGACTCGAGGGGGCTGCTGGAGGCTGCAGCGCTCGGGTGTGTACTGTTCAGAGGCTCCATCCTCAGCATTGAGATGCCGCTCACACAGCCGGGGGCTGGGGAGAAAGCTGCAAGTTAGACCTTCCACATGGATCCGCAGGAGAGCAGAAGCCAAGCGCATGGCTCAGGAAGTTGCAATAGATCAAAAGAAGTAATTAAGAACAGGAATGAGAGAAATAGCAGGATGTAAGGCATCTCATCAAACAGTTAACAGGGGTTAGCTCTGAGAGCTTGGAGCAAGTCACAGAAAATAGGGGAGGGAATGAAAGAAGAGTGAGAAAAACTTTCATCAGATAGAAGAAAGATAGATGATAGATAGATAGATAGATAGATAGATAGATAGATAGATAGATAGATAGATGATAGATAGATAGACTTTATTTGCATTTCAGAAAATAACCATGCATTAGTTCCAAACTTTAAACATTATATACCATATAGAGATTCAGAGAAAAAAAATAACAACTTTGAAAGGCATGCTTTAATGGGCAGGGCAAGAGCAAACTTAACATTTTGTTTCAAAAGCTGCAACTTTCTCATATTCAAAGTAAAGCTTCCTTAAAAGAAGAAAAAAAAAGCAAGAAAACTTTCCCTACTAAGAGTTAAAACTATCCGTCTTGCATGTCTCGGAAGAGAAGGAGCCTCGCTAACTTACCGAAAGCTGACAGTTCGTCCCAAGTGTGGAACTCCTAAATGGCTGAATCGGAGGACGTTTTTCTTCTGGGTCGGGCTCTGCGCTCTGACAGCCCCGCTGCTGTCCTTGGGATATATAGTCAAGAAATGCATCGTCACGTGTTCCGGGAGGAAAATTTACAACAGAGGTTGACTGTGGCGGAGCGAGCAGTGAACTCGGAGCACTGCAGTTCAACTCTCTGAACTTTGCAGCTGCGGAGAGGAAAAAGAGGGGGAGGTAGCAGCCGCTTGCTCCTCCCGCCCCAACTCAGAGCAAGAGGCTTCTTCAGGTGGCCAAAACGATGTGCAGAGGAAAGAGCGTGCTCCACTTGAGATGTCACCCCAAAGCCTACTCTCACTAACAAGGAGTTTATGTTTCATTTTCCTTGCAGGAAATAGCCAGTATGTCATCCATAGGTTGTCAGAGGAAATCCAATCCTGTCATTAGAATGAAAGACAGTTGAATGAAAGCAAGGGCAGAATTTACAGTGAAGGAATAATGGCTTCCGTTTTAAGTTCTTCCACTAATTGATAAGCCCTTCCTTATTCGATGCCTTGGACTAGTACAATAAAATTGGTAGCTAGTGAGGGACAGGACTGTTCAGCAAGCAGAGTCCTAAGAATTGTATTTTAAGTTCATTTCCTCTTAACCACTCTAAAATGCAAGGCTGGCTAGTGCAGGTTACCCTTTAAAAGCATGGAAGTTCTACCTGCCTCCACACCAAAGGCTGGCTAGTGCAGGTTAGCCCTTTAAAAGCATAGAAGTTCTACCTGCCTCCACACCAAGCTCACAAATACATTCTTGATAGAATCTTTTAGATTCTACTCAGGGATTGGTGGACATCTGTAATCCAGTAGTTGAGGGGCTGAAGCAAGGGGACCATGAGTTCAATGTCAGCCTGGGCTACAAACGTAAGCCCTGTAGGAAAACGAAAATCTTCCAGATTCTCTTTAGTAGTCTGTGTAAAGTGGAAACGTACTGGTGGGAGCCATTGAGAGCTCCATCCTGCCTCCCACAGCCATGCCTCTGAAGCAGCCACACGGACTGTTCACACATGGCTGTGTATCTCAGGCAGGTCGTGAGAGAAGCAGGCATTCTCTCAGTGAGCCCCCAAACACGGTTTAAGTTCTAAATACCGAGGTGGGCCCCATGTTTAAAAGGCTGCTGTGAGTGACATGGGAAGAGCCACCAAGGACTTGGTCGCCAAGTCACTTGCTTCCTGGGATGTTTACTCTAAAAGGCTGTCATTCCAAGTCCAAGTAAACTGGCAGTAAACTGGCCTTTACCTCCAGCTGCCTCCGATCTAGTCGCTGCAGCCGCACTGGCATGCATGCCGACTCTAAACAAAGCATCACTGCTGGGTCATCAAGCTGAAGCTGAGGAGAGCAATGGGAACTTTCCTCTGACTGTACAAAGCACACATGGTCCATGTGCTAGAACTATCCTTGTGAGTCTGGTGCCGTGACTGAGGCGAATTCTGACGGGCATCCTAGGAAAAGAGTTGAACTAAGGGTCCATGGTCCTGGACTACTCACCTGATGCTTTGGTCTGTGGTCACGCCAAAACTCCCCAGCTGGCACTGAGGTGTTACCTGCCATTGATCCCAGCACCAAGGTCATTCATGCAATGACATTTTGCTCATATCAGTACAGCTGGGCTCACCACTCTGCCTGTTCAAAACTCAACAGCCACATGGTAGACCTGGCCTTTTCCAGCCATCCTCCATGTAGACGCTGGCAATCGTCCATTCATATGTGCCTGTGGTGGCTCATCTGGAAGAACGGAGTAGGAAGGACCCATGAGAAGCATTCCTATTGGTATTTGCCATAGTATTATTGCTCATGTACCTTGGGATGGATAAGATTGGTCATCACCAGGGGAGGGGAAGTTGCCAGGCACTGCAAACTGGAAAAGACAGGGTAGGAATATGTGTCTCCGGGTTTAAGAAGGGGTGGCCACACAGCCAGGTGTCCGAAAGACAAGTAAAGGCTGAGTAGCCAACAAAATGAATCCCAGGCCTGAGCCTACAGCCCCAAGGCACTAAAACCAACAACAGAACTGTCTTCTGGAACAAATCTAGAAAGGAGACCAAAGGACTAAGAAACTAGAAACTGGGAGAGTCAAGCCCAGTGCAGAGCTTGTCACAGGCATCGGAGAAAGAAGGACCCATGAAACCACAGACTGCCTGTTGGTGACCCTGTGACATCTGATGCCCCCGAGTGTTGCAGGGATCTCTCTAGGAAACAATTCAAGGAAAGCATTGAGCACTGTCATCAGGCAGAGATGATTGCTCAATTTATGTGTTTTGCTGTCATGGTTGGGTAACCTCCCCCGCCCCACCGCGCCCCAGCCATTACCTAAGGCTTCTGGTAGCTTCCTAGTGTACAGACGTCTCTCTCCAGACTTCCCATCACCGCTTGTCCTTGCTAACCTCCCCCACCCTGGGAATGAAACTCAAGATCTGGGCTTGCAAGCTCCTGGCCTCACTCGGTCTTCTCCCCAGGACTTCTTCATAGCCGGGTGGTAAGAACAGTGGCTCTGAGCAATGGTGTTAATGAGAGAACTGAGCGACCTTCTAGAAGGTGTGTTCTGTCTGGGCATGAGAGTCAATAATCATTCACTTTGTGCCACAGCTTCAGGAGGCAGCCATGATAAGGAAATGAACCCATATCAGAAACACTTTTTTCCATGCTGCAGCTAACACTTCCATTTTCTTAACGGGAATGTGTCTTAGTTCTGGACCAACTTCTCACGAGTGTTTATGGATGTGCTTTATGAATCTTGCCCAAGAAACGTTTCCTTAAACCATTGTTCTCTAGAAGTTCACTCAATTTTTCTACAGTTTTTATAGTTGTTTTATAGCTGAAACAATGATCTATTTCAAGCTAATTTCATTTTATGATGGAAAGTATGAGTCAAGGTATGTGTCTGCGTTGCACATGCGTGTGTAAGTATGCTCACAACTGTGAGTGCATGTGGAGGTCAGCAATCGACACTGAGATGTCTTCTTCAGTCACACACACACACACACACACACACACACACACACACACACACACTATCTTCTGAAACAAACTTCGGTGGACCTGGAGTTTACTGTTTTGACCAGGCTGGCTGGCCACTGAGGCCGAGGCATCTGTCTGTCTCTGTCTTCTAAGTACTTGGCTTGGTGTCCCCAACATGGGTGTTGGGGGTGCAAGCTTGGGTCTTCATGCTTGCACAGAAAGGGCTTTACTCACGAGGCCGCCTCCTCAGCCCACGGTCCTAATTTTTTAATGTGTGGAAGTACAGCTGTCCAAGCAGAACTTGTTGGAAAGACTCTGTTTCCCTACTGGATTATTTTGAACTGTTGTTAACAACCACGGGGCTTGGAGAGATGGCTCAGTACTTAGGGGTGCAGGTATTGCTCTTGCAGAGGCCCCAAGTTTGGTTTCCAGTACTCATGTCAGAAAGCTCACAACCATCTGTAACTCTGATGTGAAAGGATCTGACCCCTTCTTCGAGTCTCTGTGGACACCCACACACAGACATGCAAAAATACACATAATTTAAGAAATAAAAAATAAGTAAATCTTTAAAAAGTAATTATTAACTTTATATGTCCAGGTCTATTTCTCAACTCTTTGTTCTGCCTTTTGATGAAATCACTTTAAATTGGAGGCAGAAGCAGGCGGATCTCTGTGAGTTCAAGGCCAGCCTGGTCTACAGATCAAGTTCCAGGACAACTAGTACTGTTACACAGAGAAAGCCTGTCTCGAAAAACCAAGAAAAAAAATGCCAGCCTGGTCTGTATAGTGTGTTCTAGGCTAGCTAGAGCTACATGGTAAGACGCTATCTTTAAAAAGAAAAAAGAAAGAAAGAAAAATTATTTATCTGGGTGTCTATTCGGTACCAAACTCACATCAACCCTGTGAAATATTATAACCATTTCATTAAAAAGAAATTGTAAAGGCCAAAATCTAAAGCAATTTTCCCCAAGTCGGGCCATTAATGATAGAATCAGGAGTGTGTGTGTGTGTGTGTGTGTGTGTGTGTGTGTGTGTGTGTGTGTATGTATGTGTGCCTATGTGCCTGTGTATGATGCTTGTGTGTGTGCCTATGTGCCTGTGTGTGTGTGCCTATGTGCCTGTGTGTATACGTGTGTGTGTGCCTATGTGCCTGTGTGTATACGTGTGTATGTACCTATGTGCCTGTGTGTGTGCCTGTGTGTCTGTGTGCTTTTCTGCATGTGTACATGAATGCACATATAGACTTATGCATGTGGAGACTAGAGGGCCATGTTGTGTGTCTTCCTCAACTGCTCTCCACCTTATTCTTTGAGATAACGTCTTTCCATTAAACTTGACCTAACAGATTTAGCTAGATCGGCTAGCCAGTGAGGTCCAGAGATTTTTTTTTTTCCTATGTCAGCCTCCCCAGCTCTGAAATTCTAGATGTGTGCCAAGGCATCCAGCATTTTACATGACTGCTGAGACTCGAACTCAAGTCCTCATGCTCCAGCAGCACGGGATTTCCCAGTGACCCTCCTCTCCCTGTAGAATCAAGATTTGAACAGAGGTCTGTGGAACACCAATGCCTGCTTGCTTCTACTCTCCTTTGTCTCACGAAGGGAAACTAAAAAGCAATTCAGAGATAGCAGAAAATGAAAGTTTGGTATTTATCCAACTTCTCTGGGGTCTGGATAAGCCTTTTTTAAAAAAAAATACATCTAGATGACCAAGTACTCAAACGTAAGTACAAACATTCCCTTTCAAATTGTTTTTCCTGAAGTTCATGCTCTTCCAGCATTAGAATATTCTAGAAAGAGTATGTCGGTGAAAGAGTAGTACCCTTGCCCCATATCCATGTGACCCCAAACAGCCGTTTCCCTTTCGCCTACATGCACAGCTTGTCTGTGGTCTCGTGTTTTGACGTGGTGGGTTGTTTTCTTTCTTTCTCTCCCCTCCCCTGACTCATCCCGACACACACTTTCTCTAGAGCTTTGAGTCTTTGAGTACTTTCATTTCCTGGTGACGTCATTTTCACCAGATGACCCAAGAGTCCCTGGCCACACATCTCTGAAATTATGTTAACAGCTTCTGTGACTAAACAAAGTCCAGGCTGGGATAGCAGCAGAACCATGAATCTCATCGGATGAGACATCAGCACAGAGGGCAGAGATCTGACCCAGCTCTTCCTCGCCCAGGCTACGTGACTGGCCCCATTGCATAATTTCTCTGTGTTTTTGTTTTAGCCACCCGCGAGCATGTCAAGAGGCAAGCATGTCGAGAAAAGGATCGTTAACTGTGCCAAGATCCTCAGCAGTGTCCCAGCATCCACCAGGCTCTCCTGCTCCTGAGCAGCCTGGGCTGCCGGTCTGACGGAGCTTTGCAGAACAAAATCCCCTGTGCCCACCACTGTTTCTGCTCTCCCAGAAACTCTTTCTGAGAAGTTGTATCTGGGAAGGCTTGGGCTGGGTCATCCCTGAGTCATCCTCCCTGGACGCATAGTTCTCAACATTCCTAGCACTTGGAATAAGACAGGGACAAAGCTGGGTATCTGCCAGATATGTAGTACGACCTCCAGGTCCTCCCTATAACTACCAGCTGTGCTCAGGAGAACAAAGCTATGACCACGGCATCTTAGACATCATCCAGAGATGGTTGTGAGGAAAGAATCCACAACTCATGACAGTAAAGATTGATGCTGTTATTAGCTCCCATTTATTATCTATTTTTCAAACTCTTTGCCTGGCATTTATTTAACAAATATTTGGATAATACCTACAATGTACCAGGAATTGCTCTAAGCACTTCTTAGATTTTTATCCTATTTAAGCCTCATTAAAAACTCTATAAGGTGGGGCTGAAAAGATGGCTCAACTGTTAAGAGAACTGACTGTTCTCACCGAGGACCCAAGTTCAGTTCCCAGAACCTACATCAGAAGACTCACAACTGCCCATTACTCCAGCTGCAGGGGATCTAACATCTCTTGAATACTTGCACTCATGTGCGCATACCCATATGAACACACACACACACACACACACACACACACACATACACACACACACACAATTGAAAATAAATAAAACAAATCTTAAAATAAAAACAATAAGATAGCATTGAATTGGCATTCCCTGGGGAGGAGTAAACAAACAATTCTCCTCCCCAGATAGATGCCAATGCCAATGCCAGGCTCAAATAGAACTGCATCAAGGTCCAAGTTGGTGGGACCAGTGAGTTTATTGGGTTTCCTTATAGAGCCTAGACAAGGGGTTACTTACATGAGTGTGGTAAACCCAAAACTGCTGTAGCACTGCAAAGTCCCACACCACCAGAGCAAGGAAGCTCCTCCAGTCATCCCCCTGTCTCCACTCCCCACAGTACCAACAGGGGCTGGGAATCCAACCCAAGGCTTCTGGAAGAACAACCAGTGCTCTAAGATCATTGCGTCATCCTTCCAGTCCAACAGGAGGAGTTGATTAGAAAAGTTACGGGACCTGCCCCAGATCTCATCACAGGGCAAGGTCATGGTGCCTCTAGAGAAGCAATCTGAAGAGTGGTGGGACCCAGAGCCAAGGCTTCGGTGCCACCTTGTAGGACCCACTTCTTCAGGTGACCATCCTGTGTGTCCCAGCTTGAAGTGGTAGCAAGCACATAGCATGCACCCCATGCCATCATTAGAAATACTGAAGGGGATACAAAGAGACAGCACAGGGACGCTCCACACATCATCTAACTTAAATGTAACTTTGAGGACCAAAAATTATTGTTCACTGTTTCATTCCCAGCACCTAAGGTGGTACCTGGTCCACAGTGAGCCTAAGAATGTGATACTTGGATAGCAAGAAGAATGTGCTAGAGGCTCTTCTCATACTTTATTTGATTTTTGCAAGAGGCTAGTGAAGACAATGAGCAGTATTGTGTGTGTGTGTGTGTGTGTGTGTGTGTGTGTGTAGACAATGCAGATTAAAGGGTAATGTGTCCTGTCACCCAGCAGGAAGCAGTGGAACTGGGATAATCCATCCCACCTCCTACCGAAACTGAGCCAGACACATCCTCCCTTCCCGGGACACATAGTGTTCAGTGGCTGTTGGTCACTTCCTCTGGCCCCACTAATGAAAAGGTCAGGCTGGAAAGAGGGTACTGATGAAGAACATCAGGGATTCCAGCTGAGAACAGAAGTGACGCTTTTTTTTTTTTCAGTATTCTAAGGCTTTTAAAAGGTTTCTTAAAACCTTCTAAGTACCAGACAGTTGCACAGGAACCCAATCAAAACCAAGATCCATTTAGCTCAGATTCTTGCATGGACCTAAGGTGCCTTTCTCTGGGAAGGGACTCACATGCACTTAAGAGCACTTCACAGCTTGTGCTGGGCTTTTGCACAACAGACTAAACTGTGGATAGCAGGAAGTGGGGATCTCCCTTCCTCCGGGGATCTGCTTCCTGTGACAGCCAGTTCCCATCACCTTTCTCCATCCGGCTCCTCCAGACACAGCTGGGATTCTAACACGTGGGGCAGCCCAAGGCGAGCAGGTCATGAAAGAACTCTGCTTTTATTCTTTTTGAAGATTGACACACACACACACACACACACACACACACACACACACACAGATACATACATACAAATATACACATACACACACATACACATACACACAAATACACACATACATACATACATGCACACACAGATACACATGCAAATACACATATACATACACACACATGCATATATATATACACACATACTTACATACACACACATGCACAGACACATAGAGAAATATACACATGTGCACACACACATACACATGCACACACAGACACATAGAGAAATACACACATATACACACATGCACACACAGACACATAGAGAAATACACACATGCATGCACACACACATTCACAGACACAGAGAAATACACACATACACACACATGCACACACATACACACATGCACATACACACACACATAGAGAAATACACACACACACACACATTCACAGACACATAGAGAAATATACACACACATGCACACACACACATAGAGAAATATGCACATACACACACACACATACACACACACAAATGCCTATTAAACAAGTGATCAGTCACTGAGCTACACCGCTGCTCCCAAGGGTGTCTATCTTTGCACAGTTGTGTTTTCAGAGCCAGCCCAGCTAGACAGAAAGAATGGACTTGTCCTTGAGGACGCGCACCATAAAACATCATGCAATCTGCCTTTACCTGTCAGACACCCTGGGACCTGCTCATACCAGAGGTGGATCTTCAGGCAAGGAAATAATTGTGAAAAGTCATGTGTACAAGGAGGAAAAGAAGGCATGGGTACTAGAAATGACGCCCAATAGCCAGGGCCATGCCAAGAATGTGAGCTCATCCTGACCCCAAGAAATAATTCTTCAAAGCATGCGTGCAGAAAAATGATGTCAGAAATGCTGGCGCAGGCCGAGCAGTGAGTGTGAACAGAGATGAATGCACCCCAGTTCTGCTGGGGTCTCCTGCAGATTGAAGAAGACGCGTGGCAATGCTGTGACCAGTCATGACTCAGGTAAACTCAGAGCTAAGTGTCTCAGAGTTAATACTCCCCAGATTCCACCCAGACCCATCCTACTCCCTGCACCTTGCCTCCTTGAGCGTGATGACTGTATTTGTTGGATCTGCATCTGTTCATCCACTGGTTGACAGATTCACTTATTCAAATAAACATATCTGTCTTGCAGTCTAAGCCAATAGATAGCTTACAAATTTAAAAGGTCAAAAGAACACAGAGGAGATGGCAAGGAAAATAAGTCAAAAGCAGAGAAACATGGGCTTTGGACTTTGTCAGATGCTAGCTTTGTGGCTGAACAATCAGCTCTGGCTTCCTCTTTGAACTGGGAAAGACATGCTGTCTACAATGAGTCACACTCTAAGTCTGTACTACAGGCCTGGGTCTGCTCGGTGCAGGGTCACACGAAACTCTCCAAGCCTGACTGATAACCTAACATGGCAGTCGCCAGGCTCAGCCTGCGTGATTAACGGCCCAGAGGAAGCCTGGGTGTTTAAGAAAACTCTTCTGGGAAAGGAGAGAGAAAGAGAGAATGTGTGTGTGTGTGTGTGTGTGTGTGTGTGTGTGTGTGTGTGTGTGTGTGTGTGTGTACAAGAGAAGTATAAGTGAGGAAGTGAGGTTTGCACATGACTATTATCCCGAAACTCAGAAGTTGGAGACTGGTAGGTCAGAAGGTCAAGGTCATTCTGAGCTACATATCAAGTTTAAGGCCAGCCAGGTACACGGGAGACTTTCAAAAAAAAAAAAAAAAAAAAGCCAGTGTTTTTTTTGTTTTGTTTTGTTTTTTTCGAGACAGGGTTTCTTTGTGTAGCTTTGCGCCTTTCCTGGAACTCACTTGGTAGCCCAGGCTGGCCTCGAACTCACAGAGATCTGCCTGCCTCTGCCTCCCGAGTGCTGGGATTAAAGGTGTGCGCCACCACCGCCCGGCTCAACCAGTGTTTTTTTAGAAGTGAGAGTAAATTTTACCTCTTTCATCAAACCAGGAAAAGGTTTGATTGGATCGTCCATGTCTAGGTGTGGGGACATAAGCTTCTCCATGGCGGTGAGAAATAGTACAGTTTCTTATACCACATGCCTGGACCCTTTTCATACTCTGCCACTTGCCAGCACTGAGCCGTGTACTTGACAGTGTGACATCAATCCTGTTATCGGTGCCCTGATTGAAACTGTCAGGGTTTCCTGGAGGGCTGTGTGAATGCTTTGCCCAGTGTCTGGTAAATGATAACTACTCCTTATTAGCTAGTACTACAAGCCCTTATCAGCACCATGTGCTTAATATGCTTAACGTTTTTAAATTGAGAGCTAGTTTTTTTCATGATTAAGTTTTCCACTATAAATGATATAAAGCGGTAGTTTTTTAATTGACTCATAATATTATATTAGCATCCCTTACTGGCTAATTCCAGCATACTTTCATCATCCCAAAGACACACAGCATACTCCTTGGCACTCACTGCCATGCCCGCTTCCTGAAGTCTCTGGCAACATCCACTCTGCTTTCTGCTTTGGACCTGCCCATTCTTGACATACACAGACATGAGGCTTGGCAGGATGGCTAACAGTGAAGGGAGCTCTCTGACTGTCTAGAAGACCAGTTCTACACCCAGTACCCAAGTCAGGTGTTCACAGGCACCTGGAACTCCGGCCCCGAGGCATCCAATGTCCTCTTCTGGCCTCCGGGAAACCTGCACTTATGTGCACATACCTACACACAGACACACACAGAGACACATGATCTAAAATAAATGAATTAAACAAATCTTGGAGAGATGGCTCAGCAGTTAAGAGTACCTGCTACTCTTGCAAAGAACCCGAGTCCATTTCCCAGTACCCACATCAGGTAGCTCACAACCACCTTTAACTCCATCTCCAGGGAATCTGACACTCCCTGCTAGTCTCCATGGGCACATGAAAACACATATGCACATACACTCACAGAGACACATACACATATAAAAATTAAATCTTGAGAGATAGAGTTGTAACTATGGGGTTCTTCATGACTGGCTTCCCTTCACTTTCTTCAAGATTCAGATACTTTAAAAAAAAATCTATCAGAGTGCATTAGATTCCCATTTGAGTTTAGATACATTATCTTAGCCTGTTCATACTTCTACAACAAAATTCCACAGACTATAATTTC